TGCTTCATGCTTACCTCATCCAAAATCGCCTTGGCCGTCGTCTATTGTGACGTTTCCGGAACGCGCGTGAGGTGAGGAGAGTACGAAATACAGCGACCAGAACTTCATAATTTTCCATTTTTATTTTGCAATTGCGGATCAGGTGAGAGGAGTCGCCGCAACGATAACATTTTCTCTCAAACTGGGGTTTTTGCTCACTATTTGGGGTGTTCTGTCCATTTGGAGAATTTGTTGAAGCTACAAAGGCGGCGTTACCGCTCTTGGGTGGTGGATACTTCGGTTGATAAAATGGGACCTTTTGGTTCGATTGTCCTTGGGGGCGGAATTTCCTATCGTTGGAAGCGCTTGGGTTACCAGACGATTGTTCACCTTGCGCTCCAGAGGAGGGCGCAAGGCCTGTTTGTCGGGCCGATTCCGCAAATTTAAAGCTTTGCACCTTTTCGCATAGTAATTGTAACTAATAGTAAGTGCGAGGTTCTTCGGCGAAGACAAACCTAGCGCGATCCTCTGGTGCACAATAATGCACAATAGTCTGGATAACTTCATGCTGAGAGTAATTTAATTTCAAAAGTTTATTGGCGAGCTTGATTTCAAAGACAAAGGTTGCAAATGACTCATTTGCTTTTTGGTATCTGGAATAATATTGAATTTTCAATTGATCCTTTAATTGGGGAGGGATCAGAGAGTTAAGTACGAAAGAATGGAATAGGCCAAAATATAATTTTTCTTTGATAGCTGTCTTTAGGCTGCTCACTTTCACTGCTCCTGCACTAAATATTTATATTGGTTTGAGGTTCTGGGCACTCCAAGCACAACAATGCTGCTGCTGGCGTTTTTTCAGTAGCGTAGTGGATGAGGTGGCTCAAATTTGACGGACCAGTTTCGGATGTATCGTTTATATCGATTCATTTTGATCGTCCATTTTGACTAAGGGCTAAAAAATCTGCGTCACCAAAATTACCAAAGTGAAGATCATCATCAAAACTTTTCCTCAAGATCAAAATAGAATCCTGAACTCAGAAGAGAGAATCCTGAAGTTACCAGAGCAATAAGGCAAATTTTCGAGAGCGAATATCATAGGCTTTCGTATCAAATTCGACGGTTGTGCATTTTATTTTCATGATATTCGATCAGTTCGGGGGTCTCATCGGAGACCGGTGAGTTCCAACAATTGGAAAAATCGATTTCCGGTCCGGAAGCTGAGCTAAGGACAACTCAATTATGTCCTGTGCCTGCTGGAATTGGATTTGCCTCACGGTCAGTTTTCCTGCTAGTTTTCCTTTAAGTCTGATATCATTATACGTCTGTGGTAAGAATAAGAAAGGCAGGATCAGGATCAGACAACCGGGGTTGCTTTTGTGGGTGACGAGGAATAGCATGATTAGGGTTGCCATTTGAATTTTTTAGGTTTTACCCATCCAGGGGGAGTCGAACAAAAATAAGTCCTCATTGATAAATTTCCCTCGGTGACAAAACAATGAAAGAAACGGGGACGTTCTATCAATTTTCGTTTAAAACTTACAACCACTTTTAAGTTAGTTTAGGGACGCGCGGTAGATAGTTAATTTCACATGATTTAGGATATGAAGATTGACCAGGGAGTCGTCTGAATGAGGAATGATTCTCCTGTGGTGATTTAGCCGTCAATTACCGAGAATACTTCCCGCGAATCATGAAATGGGAAGCGGGAGGGGCATAGTCAATACGTGGGAAGGTTCTCCGTTGGTGATTTCGCCTTCAGTCAGTGGGAATACTTCCCACGAAACATGAAATGGGATGTGGTCATACTAAAGTTAAAATGTGGGATGGTTCTCCGCCGGTGTTTTCGCCTTCAATCAGGGAGAATTCCTTTCACCAACACAAATGAAATGCGACGCGGCATTGCCAAATTGGACGTAAATACAATATTCGTCGACCCACTCATGGATTTACAAATCGTGAGTGGATCGACTAACCAACCAAACAAATGGATCGACAAACTCGTGAATGGATCGAGAAATCCGTGAGTCGCCAGCGACAAAGAGTATATGATATTCTGATTCAGAATCCTATACAGGGTGTACCAAAAGTCCGTTCCACCCCTGCTAACTTTTGAACGAATTGAGCTAGGGTAATGAAACTTTGGGGATGTTCCTATCCCAAAGGAGACCATCTTTTGGGGGGGTCAAAATGTTGGTCCCCCCTCAGGGGGGGCGCGGGGGGCCCCCAACTTTTTTTTTCAAATGGCAACCCCTATCTTGTGATACCTCATTCGAAAGAGCATAAGAAACTAAGAATTTTGGCGCAAACCGCAGATCAATATCTTAATTTTTGACCGAGTTATGATAGGTCAAAGGTCACATTTGACCTATTTTCAAAAAATCATAACTCCGGTTCTAATTATCGTAAGGAAAAAAATAAAACGGGAAAATTTACCAAATTGTGTCCGCTTTTAAGTAAAAATTGCAGAAATCATTTCGATTTAATTTTAAGGGGGGGCTCGGACCCCCAAATACGTCAATTCAAAGGTCATTCAATTTTCCCGCGAAATAAGCCAATTTCCCCTAGATTTGCCTCCACATTATCTCAGTAAGGACAAAATCAGTTCAGCACTACGTTGGCAAGTCCCCAAATTTCGGGAAAAGTTAAAAAAAAAAACGAAATTTAAGGTGATTAAATTTTACCGTTTAAATTTCGTTTGTTTTTTAACTTTTCCCGAAATTTGGGGACTTGCCAACGTAGTGTTGAACTGATTTTGACCTTACTGAGATAATGTGGAGGCAAATCTAGGGGAAATTGGCTTATTTCGCGGGAAAATTGAATGACCTTTGAATTGACGTATTTGGGGGTCCGAGCCCCCCCTTAAAATTAAATCGAAGTGATTTCTGCAATTTTTACTTAAAAGCGGACACAATTTGGTAAATTTTCCCGTTTTATTTTTTTCCTTACGATAATTAGAACCGGAGTTATGATTTTTTAAAAATAGGTCAAATGTGACCTTTGACCTATCATAACTCGGTCAAAAATTAAGATATTGATCTGCGGTTTGCGCCAAAATTCTTAGTTTCTTATGCTCTTTCGAATGAGGTATCACAAGATAGGGGTTGC